GGAAGGAAGGAAGGAAGGAAGGAAGGAAGGAAGAAACAAAGAAAGAAAAAAGAAAGGAAGAAACAAAGGATGAACCAGTGTATATTCTGAGTCCTGAGAGAAAGCATCCAGTGTTTCATCACTAAGAATGGCATTGACTGTGTAGGTTTTACACATGTTCCTTTGAAATTCCATCCCTTCTATTCTTAATTTGTTGAGATATTTTTCATAAATAGCTATTGAGTTTGTCAAATGTCTTTTCCATATCTACTGAGATAAGCCTGTGAATTTTGTCTTTTCTATTTGTATGACCTTTTTTTTTTTTTTTACCTTATTGACTTTCAGATATTAAACCAACTTTGCATTTCTGAGGTAAACCCCATGTCATAAAATCCTTTTCATATGTGTCTTAGTTGTTTGGGTAGACATGTTGTCGAGTGTTTTCATATGTACAGTGGTTTCTTTATCTGGTTTCTTACCATGATGATACTGGCCCTGGGGAACAAATTAAGAAAGATTTCTTTCTCTTTAGGAATAGTTAGGAAGAGCTATGAAATATTTGTCTTGTATTCTTTGAATATTTGGGCGAATCCATCCATGAGCCATCTCATCCTGGACTTTTGTTTATAGGTAGATTTGTTTACTCATTCACTTTCTATGTAGTCAGATTTTCTATTTCTTCTTGAGTATTTTTGTCTTTCTAGGCACTTGTCCAACCAGCTTGACCACTTTGGTTCCATAAACTTATTTGTTGTGGTCTCTTTAATTTTTAAAGATGCCTGGAGGAGAAACTCGTTTGTTTCTTGGTCCCTCAGGGTACGTCTGTCTCGCTGATCTTTCGTAGGGCCAGCCTGTGTGGGGGCAGTTTCTGGTGCGGCATCAGCCCTTAGCCAGCTGGCTCTCTTGTGTTGGGTTCTTGATCATCTGTGGTTTGCAGCAGTTGTGCCTGTGATGAAGGGGATGGATCTCATTTTACACTACCTGTATCTTTTTCTTCTTGTAATGTACTGAGCTTTTTGAAAGTGTAGACCAATGTTCTTCATTAAATTTAGAAAGACTTAGCCATTATTTTGTCCAAAAAAAAAAAAAATCCTTTTTTGCCTCTGTCTCACTGTTTTTTTAGTTATCTTATTCTTTACGTGCTGATGCTGCTGATTTTGTCCCGGGCATTTCTGAAACTCCCGTCATTTGAAAGTCTGGGGCACTGAAATGGCTCAGCAGATAGAGGAGCTTGCTGCACAAGCCTGGAGACCTGAGTTCAATCCCCGGAACCCACGATGGAAAGAGAGAACTGGCTCCACAGACCTTGACCGCTGTCCTCTGACCTTCGCCGGCATGCCATAGGGTGAACACACGCATGCACGCACACACACACACACACACACACACGAGTAATAATTAACTGATTACATTACCAAAGAGTAAACACTGTGGGAGGAGGCTAGACGTCTTAGATGAGGTTAGTCTTGAGAGGAAGATGTGTGTGTCCTTGTCTTTCAAGGATCTCCTGTGTCTTGTAAAATGCCACCTGTGCCTCCACTTATCCCTTTTTCCTTCCCTCTTCAGCCTCCAGTCGTGCCTCTCCTGTCTCTCTTATCTTCTGACCTGTATCAATGCGCATGGACTTGATGTTGAGTCTCTCCTGGACCTTTTTGTCCTCTTCGCTCTTCCTTACAGACCACACCCCTCTCTCACCTTTGCTCTGTGCTAACTCTTAGAAAGGGGCTTCAAGAGACGACTCTCCCAGAGCTGGGCTTTGTGATTCCTTTGTGGAGGGCACACCTCTCGACGTGCACGGGATGCTCTCGGTTTGTGTGTGCTTCGTGCGTTATTTACAAAGAGATCACATCGTGCAGCGTCCTTCTCCTTGGTCGCCTCTGCACTTCCCTCCGCCGCATGTCTTGGAGAGTCACTGCGGTGAAATGTGGAGTGTGCTTGGGAGCCTCGGATAGAAGCAGGGGGTCAGAGAGCAGACTAGGTATCACTTTTAGCATACCAGTGTCAGGATGACCCTGCGTCAAAGTGCAGATGCTCATGGTGCATTGGAGAGTTAGCCGAGAGCCCAGGTAAGAGATCGGGAATTACTGCTTCTAGAAACTGATAGACTTAAGGAAACAGGAATTAGATCCATACAGTCCTCTGTGCAATGCCTTCCTCCTCTAAGTAATTCCTGCTGAAATACATTCCAGATTCCTTGCATAAGGAAAGGTCATACTGAGAAATTATGTTCAGAAGCTTTTTTGCGG